GCATTGGTGCCTATAGGATGGGGGTGGGGGTGGTGCCCCTAAGTCAGGTTAATTCACCCCAATGCCAGCAAGGTGCCGGGGTTGGGGTGCCAAAGGCACCAGGGTGCTGGGAGCATCCCAGGGGGTGGATGTGGGTGCTCGAAACGCACCCCAGCAACCCCTGCAGCGTTTAATTAATTTAAATCGCAGCTTCACAAGCATAATTACGCCTTCACGGCGCTATCAGCCAGTGGGTGGTTTGTCCGGCTTTGCTTTTTATCATTTTTAAACCATTTTTTTGTTAACAAAAGGAGATGCCAGGTAGATTTGGAGCTGCCCTGGGTCGCAGCAGACCCTCAAGGCAGCCCGTTTTGCCTCAAAATTAGTGCTTTTTGTGGAAAGGGGCACATTTTTGCCCCGGGCTCGCTCACCCGTCACCTAGCTGCCACGTTTTCCAGCATAAAGGATTAAATATTGCAATAAAGAAGTTGGAGGAACCTCCTGTGGACCTTTTTTTTCCTTCAGAGATCCATTTTCGGGGTGGTGGTCACTGAACTGGGGGTTTCTGGTGTGAAGGTGTGAGAGAGGATTTTTTTGGGGGCAGTTTTCACACCATCGGCCTCTCCGCTGCATCAGCCTCTTCACCATGTCACGACGAGTGTCACAGATCAGCTCGAGGAACCTGAATTCAGGGAAAAATAACCCAAAACCTCCCTGCACCCACGCAATAGCCCTTCCCCTGATTTACAAGCCCTACCAGGAGCGTCCCTCTTGCTGCAGGAGAAGCCTGAGGCGGATGGAGGATACAACACCATGATTTCGCTGCTTTTCTTTAAATTTTCCTCACTGTCTCTGGTGAAATTTGCTTTGGGGAGGAAATATTTGCGGGAGACATTACTATTGGGGTGAAAAACCGTTAATTCCGGGCCTGCGGGTCGGGATCGCCTCAGAGGGGAGGCGCCCACTTCCAAAATGGCGGCCCCCGCCCGCTTCCAAAATGGCGGTCCCTGCCCTCTTCCAAAATGGCAGCCTCACCCTCAGGCGGGGCGAGAGGGAAGATGGTTGCTGCCTCCTCCTCAGCGTGGGGCGCTCGGGGCAAGCAGGGCGAGATGGCCGCGGCCTTCCCCTTGCTGCCAGGAGGGCCCTGCTCAAGATGGCCCCTGGGGGATGAAGCCCCGGGGTCCATCTTGGGCGAGGGCAGCCAGCTGGCGTTGCCACGGCGACGGGCCCTATCGGGGGGGGAAGGAGGGGGAAGCCCCCCAAAAGGGCCGCTGTGGCCCAGAGGGGGACGGGACCATTTTTGATGCATCTGTGAGCCCCAAACCCCCTCATGGGGCTCTTAAACACATTTGGGCCGTGCTCCTTGCTGGCCTGACATCCCCGACATGCAGGCAGTCACCCCCGTTAACAGAAACCCTCCCTTTTACCCCCAAAACCTGACTCCTTCCCCGCTGTGAAGAATCGAGACAGACGCCGCAATGGGAGGATTCGTGCAGCCTGGCAGCCCGGTTCCCTCAGTCCAGCCTTGCTAAAACATCTCCCAATATTCTTCCCCAGCTCCAAATTTAGGATTTTTGGCCCCAAAGTGGTCCCTAACGGGTTTATCACCCATAAATTTACGGGGTTGCGCTTCCGGCCAGCAGCAAGGAGCTCCACCGCCGCAGCCCTCCATGAGGAAAATGTCCCCTGAAGGCACGTCCCCGTCCCCACGGAGAGGCAGGCGAACCCCCAAACTGCCCTTTTTTCCACTTTTCAAGGAAAAAACACCTCACTGGCACACTGGCGAGCATTTTTCACTTTGCAAGGTGGGTTTAATTTACGGGGTTGCGCTTCCGGCCAGCAGCAAGGAGCTCCACCGCCGCAGCCCTCCATGAGGAAAATGTCCCCTGAAGGCACGTCCCCGTCCCCACGGAGAGGCAGGCGAACCCCCAAACTGCCCTTTTTTCCACTTTTCAAGGAAAAAACACCTCACTGGCACACTGGCGAGCATTTTTCACTTTGCAAGGTGGGTTTTTTTTTTAATTTTTAACTCTTATTGCTCGGGATAGCAGAGGGACCGGGCTTCCCCGGTCGGCTGCCGCGTGCCCG